AGGCCTCCAGCACCCACTGCCGCACTGACAAAATAGTCCAACACTGAAGTCTCAAACCATCCCATTCGGTTTTGTTATGTCCACAGTTGCTCACTAGTCTCAAGAAAATAACTCTGTCCATGGTTCTGATTCAAAGAAGACTTCAGGTATGCAGATGAGCAGAATTGGGAAGGAGCCCTATCAGCCAGACTTTTGTCCCAGTAAGTCAGTGTTCTAAAGTGAAAGCAGAAGGCTCCCTAGCCCATTCTGAGATCAACTCTCACATATATGAATAGGGAGTGAGCACTGGGCCCAAAGGCCTGGATTCAACACCTTCCACTTCTTCCCAGCTCTAGGGGCTTGGCTTAGATGTAAAATTATGTCAATTTACATATGCTACTACATATGTCTAAAGAGATAAATGAAAGGATAGTCAGCAAATAATAGATAACACAAAGACAGTGTTTTTTTTTAAAAAAATGACAGTGTTTTTTAAAAGTCACATTAGCTTCTCACATGTGCTTCCATTTCTCATCTGGAAAGGATAATGACACCTCATTGGAAGGACAACTAGGGAGCTCTGAGCAAGTATTAGACATATAAAGTTGAGTAAGATGCCTTTCCTCTAGGTACCCACATACCACTTATGGAGTAGAGCAGAAAGAGCAGAAGCAATCAAATAAAGCAGATCTGGGTTTGAATCCAGACCCCCCTACTACCTTCCCTTTTTGACCTGACCATTAGAGATAACCTCTTGGAGCCTAACTTTATTTATCTGTAAAACAAGGATTATAGCACCAATCACACCAGGCTATTGTGAAGATTAGTGAAGTCATTTAATTAATGTAATTTTAAAATGAACCAAATTAGTATTTCATATTTGCTGGGCACATATTACATGTACAACACTGCTTTAGGCATTATTGGGATAAACATAGACATACATTGCATGACCCCTGAATAAGATCTAGTTAGGAAAATAAGACATAAAACAAAAGGTCAAGAAGAAATACAAGTATTTAATAACATGTGCATTAAAAAATAAAGGATATTTAGGTGGGATGGGAAAAGGATTGTCACTTTTTACATATTCCTGTACCATTTGAAGGTTTTTAAAGCTTGTATTATTTTTCAATTAAAAGAAATAAAAATAAGAGTAAGAGAAAATAATAAGTGAACAAGATGTCATGAATGTTAATCACCCTTTAGAAGCTCTTAAAATGAATGTATTCAATAAATGTCAATCATGTACCTTGTGCCAAGCACTCTTATATCCTGAGATTGAAGAGGTGCATAAGTTATCCCCACTTGGAAGGAACTTACTATCTACTAGGAGAGGAACTGATGAAGAATTATAACAGAGTTCTTCAAGAGAGGATGTCCAGAGGGTTAAGGAAACACAAGCTCACTGAGGGAAAGGGAACTCTGAGTGGATGCTGCTTTTGAGATGGATCCTGAAGGATGAGTAGTTTGTCAGGTAAAGGAGTAGAAATGTTACACCTGCCAAGGTATGAAAGGCATGGCTGTGGTGTGCAGGTGATGTAAGTGTAGTGTGTATATGTGCGTGTATGAGTGTGTGTGAGGGTATGTGTGTATGTCTGTGAGGATATGTGTAATGTTTTAGATATGCAGTTGGGGAGAATTAGGAAGCAGCCCTACCAGCCCTACCAGCCAGACTTTTTCTCCTATTAAGGGTGTGTCTGTGATGGTGTGTGAAGCTGTATGTAAGAGAGGGTGTGAGTTTGTCTATATGTGTGTAAGTGTGTGTGTGAGGGTGTGTGATGCTGTGTGTGTGAGAGGGTGTGAGTTTGTGTGTGTGTGTGTGGGAGAGAGAGAGAGAGAGAATGAGTGAGAGTATATGATGCTGTGTGTGTGTCTGTGAGTGTGAAGTCCATTAGGAGGGAGGTAGAAAGCCAGGCTATGAAAGGCCTTGAGGCCTATAGTCAGAGATTTGAATGCTATGCTTTAGGCAGAGGGAAACATTTACATTTTCTGATCTAGGGAGTAACATGATGAAAGCGATGTTTTAGAAAGGTGATGCCAAGCCCACACTGGAGGCCAGGAGATGAGTCAGGAGGCTCTGAGGATGGTACAAAAGGGACAAGGAGGCCAGAGAGGAGAAAATGAGTTGGAATCCTCTCCCCATCACTCAGTTCTGGGTGGCAGGAAAGAAAAAAAATGGCAGGAGAAGTGTTTACTATACCATCCTTCGTGTTTCTTTTTTCCTTCAAGGATAAATAAACTAAAAATACACTTTTTTAAAAGTCACCCATTCTATGGAAGACAAAGCTAAAAAACAAAATCTCCCCTCCAAAGTTGTTCCAATACCCAGGCTATCCAATGGAGTGCCCCAGCTTGGCCCAACTAGGAGTATGCTCTGGGGCTAAGCAAAACACATCTCCTAAGCAGACAGATCCCTTCTGAGTTCCAACCCCAATGACTAGAGTCCCCATTCAAGGAAGAAACGGGAGACCGAGTTAATGGCTTTGTGAGGTGCAATGTTCATTTCATAAGTAATTACCTCATTACATGAAAGCTGAGTTAAAAGCAAGTCTATCTGAAATGAGTCTTTGGCAGTTTGGGGTTTTCCTTTACATTTTCTTCAAGACATATGATAGGTTAGACCTTGCTTCATGTGGGTCTTCTCTTTCCTTCTCTGTACTAGAATTTCTCATCTCTGTTTTCCCTCCACTGCCTGTGTCTCCTCCTCCTTCTCCTCCTTCTCCTCCTTCTCTTCCTTCTCTTCCTCCTTTTCCTTCCCTTCTTCCTCCTCCCCCTCTTCTCTCATTCTCTGTCTCTCTGACCTCCTTCCCAGTCTGGCTGTATTTGAAGTCTTAAGCTGTCTCTGTGTTTCTATATTCTCTTACCGCTGCCCCTCCACACCTCTTCCTCTT